TTATTTATTTATTTATTTATTTATTTATTTATTTATTTATTTGTTTATTTATTTATATATTTATTTATTTGCTTGTTTATTTATTTATTTATTTATTTGTTTGTTTGTTTATTTATTTATTTTATTTATAAATAAAGTTATATTTATAAATAAATATAAATATAAATAAACAAATATAAATAAATATAAATAAAGTAGACGTAAACATAAATAAATACATTTATTTATATTTATTTATTTATTTATTTATATTTGTTTATTTATTTATATCTATTAATTTATATTTATTTATTTATTTTATTTATTTTATTTATTTATTTTATTTTTTTTTTATTTATTTATCTTACTTGTGCTGTATTTGTTTCTTTTGTTTTTTTGCAAAAAACAAAAACAATTTTCGATAAACAATTGAAAGACAGACCCTCAAGCTTTGCTGCTGCTGCTGCTGCTGCTGCTGCTGCTTCTGCTGCTGCTGCTGCTGCTGCTGCTGCTGCTGCTGCTTCTGCATCTGGTGCTGCTGCTGCTTCTGCTGCGGCTCCTGATGCTGCTGTTGCTCGTGGTGATGGTGGTGGTGGTAGTGCTGCTGCTGCTGCTGCTGTTGCTGCTGTTGCTGCTGCTGCTGCTGCTGCTGCACCAGCCTTATTGCTTTCGTGCTGCGCTGCAGCAGCAGCAGCAGCTTCATTGAGCCTCATTTCCAGTGTATCGATCATTTGTTCTATGGGTGTGCATGCATGCAACTCATTGCTGCTGCTGCTGCTGTTGCTGCTGCTGCTGCCGCTGCTGCTGTTGTTGCTGCTGCTGCTGCTGCTGCTGCTGCTGCTGTGTTCTGTCTCCTTTTTCAGCTGCAGCAGCACAAACAAGGTTGTTGCTGCTTCTTCTAGAGCTTCTGTCTCCTCACGATCCCCATATGCAGCAAGAGCATCCATCTGCTGCATCTGCTGCTGCTGCTGCTGCCGCTGCTGCTGCTGCTGCACTGCAGCAGCAGCAGCAACATCCTGCTGCTCCATGCCGCGCCTGCTGCTCCTCCCCACGTGTTTAACCCGGGGGCGGCCTGCACCCCGACGCTGCTGCTGCTTCTGCTGCTGCTGCTGCTTTAGTGCTGCTGCTCGCGCTGCTGGCAGCAGCCGCAGCGTATCCACAGCAGCAACTGTAGCAGCAGCAGCAGCAGCAGCAGCAGCAGCAGCAGAGGAGCAGCAGCAGCTCCCATCTGCAGGTGTTAGAATAGACTGCAGCACAAAGAAGCAACCTGTAAGCAAACGCGGATGAACAAACGCCGAACATGCATGTATTTGCTGCTGCTGCTGCTGCTGCTGCTGCTGCTGCTGCTGCTGCTGTTGCTGCTGCTGCTGCCATGCTGCAACAGCAGCAGATATAGTCTGGAGACATTCTTCTACAATTACATTTATCTCAGCAGATTTCATTTCATCTGCTGCTGCTGCAGCAGCAGCAGCAGCAGAAACAGCTGAACTTCCTGCTGCTGCTGCTGCTGCTGCTGCTCTTCTAGCTGCTGCTGCTGCTGCTGCTGCGACCCTCTCCTCCACCCACAAGCTAACACAGGTGCAGTATGCATGCAGGCTGCTGCTAGAGAGGCCTAGGCGTTCATGAAATCCTTGTAAAACCCTTGGGGCCCCCAGGGGCCCCCAGGGGGCCCCCGGGGGGCCCCCAGCCTTCTGCTGAGCATCAGCTGCTGTGACAGCAACAGGCAGAGAAGGGGCCCCTACACCGAAACTCTCCATCGATTATAAAATAAAAATAAATTAAAATTTATAATATTTCAAATTAAATCCTTAATCGCTGCATCTGCATGCAAACAACAACATTTCTGCTGCTGGGGGCCCCCCCCGGGGGGGCCCCCGGGGGGCCCCCAAGCGGCAAGGGGGCCCCCAGGGGGCCCCATATATAGATGTATAGATATGTTTCTGTTGTTTGTTTATCTTTTTTAAGAAGAATAATATAGTTAATTACTTTATTTAATTTTATTTGTTTAATTATAATTATTTTTTTTTGTGTTTTGGTTGGTGTGCGTGAAGCAGGAGCTGCCTATACACCCGAAACACCTCGAGGGTGGTGGGGGGTCCCCCCATTGCAGTGTATGTTTGGTTTTTTTTTTATAATAAAATTATATAGTAATTATATTTAATAAAATTGATATTAATTTTAAAATTAATACAGTGAATAATAATAATATAATATAACAAAAATAATATAAAGTTTATTGTATTGTGTATACTAATATGAATATGTATCATACAGTAGAAACAACACTAAAAATAATAAATGAAGATGAATACTAAAAATAATAAAAGCAACAAAAACAACAAAAATAAATTAAAAATAATATTATTATTTCTATTTCTATTATTTTGGGTTTTTTATTTTATTTTTTTTTTTTTTTCTGTGCTAAGAGGATATCTTAGTTTTTGTATGAAGCCTTGCGGTGTATGTACACCCCGAGTTTACTTCTCTATCTATAAATTATAAAATTA